TTTTCTTGTGTGGAATTTTGAATGAATGTGCTTTCTACGAGGATTCGGATTCGGTTTATATAGATGTTTCAGAGGTCTAAAATCGAATTATTATAGTGACTGTGAAGAAAATGGTCGATAAATGTAAGGCAACGAATGGTTTAAAAATAATTGAAACCATTTCTATTGCTCTCCGCTTTTCTCTCGATCTATTCTTAGAAATGACCAATTTAATTTCTTCAACAAACTATATTTAATTAGGACGTAGAATAGATTTTTCACCAAACCTTACAATTCCTCAAATGTAGTAGCTACATCGTGGAGCAGATTCTTGATTGGATTTGGATTTGGTCGTGAGTGAGCTTGTGGACTGTGTTTGGGATTACGTTGTGCAAAACGTTTTGAGAGTAGGGATGATGTTTGGGGTCTTGTCGAGAAGTTGTTACCTTTGCTTGATCTCTTGCGTTGGTCACACGGAAGAAACATTGCGGCAGAGTTACAGATCCACGTAAATTAATTAGGAGGTCAGGATTAGGGTTAAATGTGGTGGTACTTGTGTTTTTTAGATTTTATGATTAAACTAGGTAAATGACCCGTATATATGCGGGTTTATGATAAAATATTTTATAACCCGTGAAATGATCAAATTCGATTAGTGGGTTTTATTGGACCCGCAAACTTTGTCATCTAAAATCGTGGCAAACATGATGCGCGCATACCATGTGAATGTAAATGTTCTGTCTTTAGGAACACTCAATGCACACATAGCCTTGGAGAGCTGCTTAGATTTCCTTGACATCTCTACCTGAATGTCTATTAATCCGGATGATGTCGGTTTAAAGCAAGAAGTTATGTAATCTTTCAGTTTTGCATAGAAATCCTTAAACTCTGCGGTTGCGGGACATACACTCTCCAACTCACCAACGAAATCCAACGTAAATTTGTGAGCATAAGGCTCAAGCAAACGATTAATGCAACAATTAACATTAGATATACCGCTAATGATTTTTTTTGCCATTTAATTTTTAGAAAATAATCAAAATAAAGGAGTGAATTTTTTTTTATATTTTTCCTGTGTGGAGTTTTGAGTGAATGTGCTTTCTACGAGGATTCGGTTTATATAGATGTTTCAGAGGTCTAAAATCGAATTATTCTAGTGAATGTGAAGAAAATGGTTGATAAATGTATAAGGCAACGAATGGTTAAAAAATAATTGCAACAATTTCTATTGCTCTGCGCTTTTCTCTCGATCTATTCGTAGAAGTGACCAATTTAATTTCTTCATCATACTATATTTAATCAGGACGTAATAATAGATTGATTACACCAAACCTTACAGTTCTACAAAAAATGTTACTAGTAAAAAGATCAGCATGGTTTAAGAGTTGCTAGCTAGTACGAAAAAACTGCAATAGTCAGTTAGTTCCGAATTATGCGGATATCTTGTTTTCATGCTTCCAAATTGATTTTTGCATGCTTCCTTCCTTGCTTGAATTTATAATCCTCAATTAGTTCCGAATTATGCGAATCTCTTGTTTTCCAGTAATCTCTTG